CACAGCCAATAGTGTGAGGAGAGTTGGGCCTAGCCCACGCAGTGAGAAATGTTGGGATTTGCAGTTCAGGAACATCTGGAGGGCCGCATTTTGCCCAGGTCTGTGTCTAGGTTAAATCTGAATGGTAGGAAACAGAAGTAGTACTCCCAGAAGGAATCTATTTTGGCCAAACAAAAAAGGTCATTCTGTTCTAAAAGATGCTTTAGGAGTTGTTCTGATGGTATTAAATCACATGATCTCTGTGGCAACTTCAACATTAATATAGCACCCACTTTGTCAACTAACTACACCTTTTTCTCTCAAACTCAAATAAAGGAAACCATCCAGAAGGTCCTGACCTGAGCATTCTGGTCTATAATGGAGCATCATTCTTACCTGTCCAGAATTCATTCTAATCCAGATCACTTAATATACTGTCTACGTAGCTCCCTTACAGAGGTTGAGAACTTGCGACGATCCAGATGGCTGGTGGGCTGCAACTCCCATCATCTTAGTTCTGGTGGGTGTGGCTGATGAGAATTGTAGTCTAACAACATTAGGATTTGTCATTCACATTTTTTTAGTCTCCCAGAATTATCCAGAAATTTCTTAGGCAGGATTCTGAGAATTTCAGCTCTCAAACCCAGACAACAATATTTCACTCACCTGGAGGAGGGCCTATATTGGAGGCTGCATGCTTGTTTCAGGCCTATCCTTTCTGTTGGTATTGTACAAAAACTGAAGTTGCCACAGTCCTTTCTGGGCATTGCTTTTGGAAGGGGCCCTCTACAGATCCTACAGGGCAGCAAGACTATAATTCTAAGAGAGGCTGTTCTCCAGGTGAGCCGACATATAGGTGTCTGCAAACCACTCAAGAGTGGCCTTTGAAGCCAGATGGGAAGTATATAAATTAAATAAATAAAGTGTCTGTAAGCTAGAGCTCCCAGGATTCTGTCTAGGGAATTCCTGGAGAATTCTGGGAGTTAAGAGTCCAAAAAATCTGAATGGCACATTCCTAAACAAATATCCAATTCTTCAAAAAAAAAGTTTTTGAATGTGGGATACTCTGTTTCAGTACCCACAACTGCAAAAGCCAGGAAATGGCCTGATATTACTGCCAGCAGGAAAAAGGATGGCAAGCTTTACATAGCAAAGAGCAGCCTGAATATTGTCAACACCAATGACAGCAGTCACGATAGTCTACAGCAGTGGTCCCCAACCTTGGGCCTCCAGATGTTCTTGGATGACAACTTCCAGAAGCCTTCACCACCACCTCTGTTGGCCAGGATTTCTGGGAGATGGTCCAAGAACATCTGGAGGCCGAAGGTTGGGGACTATGAGTCTTGTGCTCTCTACCATTCACAAAGTGACACCACACAAGAGAAAATCACAGAAATGGACTCCTTTTTCCATCAATTAACCACTTCTCATACAAAAACAAAGCAATTGACCGGCCTGTTTTTCAACAAGTGTGAATAGTAGTGAGCATAAGAGGGTATCCTTTCTGCACCAGTGTGACTGCTGCCATTGGTGTTGTCAACATTCAGGCTTCCTTTTGCTACGTAAAGGTTGGCATCTTTATTCCTGTTGGCAATGTGAACACAATACTCTTTAGCAATATCGGGCCATTTCCTGTTGTTGTTGTTTTAACTGGTACAGAAGCACAATACCCCACATTCATAAACCAGACATTTCTTGAAGAATTGAATTTCCTGGCTTTTGAAAATGAGAGTTTAAACATACATACACAAATTCCAACAGAAACTTCTCTCACAGGATTACCCAGTGCTAGAATATTGCAGAAGATGAGCACATGATCTGTACTATGGTTCCTGGAAGAAGACAGAAGTGAGAACATTTGAAACAGTATGGGCACACAATGTGGCTGTAGTCCCTCTGTGCCAGAATATTTCGAAGGACTGTTCTGGACTTAATGAAACAGTGAAGCAAAGGTGTGAGTAGGTACAAAACGTACAATGGAGAAAGATACACACCCTTAAACTCATCAGGTAAACTAATGCTGCTCTACCTGCTCTGCAAAATGCAGACTAGAAATCTATGTTTCAGTTTTCAAACCCTTTCTTTGAATTGGGCAAGCTGAGGAAGAAAAGCTATATTGGACCAAAAAGTCTATGGACATATTGTGCGCATGTTTTCCAAAAGATGTTCCCTCACCTTTAGATATTAAAAGAATAAGGAAGAGGTTGGAGTTAGCAAAGAATTTAACTGCATCCATATTACGTGGAAGAAAGACAGTGAAGAAAGAGAGGAACAGAAATAAACTCATTTGAAATGTGGTATAGGAGGAGAACTGTACAGATATGAAAGACAGCCCAAAAAGTAGAAGAGTAGGTGCTCAATCAAGTCAAGCCTGAACTCTCACTAGAGCAAAAACATTAGTCAACTGAGCCTATCCTGTCATGCACATACAATGGAAATACTTGTACAGATGTGACCAGAATAGACTTTATTGCTGGGGAAAATAGAGTGGAGATATAGGACTTAACATTAGATCGGTTGATTCAACAGAGGAAGCCACAGCTATTAGTTTACAAGATCTGAGCAGAATTTATTAAAAAAAACATTGCTAGGAAAGTGGGGGGGCAATAGGAAGAGAGAACAACTTAATATGAGATGCCATTGGTTTGCAAGATCTGAGCAGAGCTGTTAATGATAGGACACTCTGAAAGTCAGTCCTATAGTCACCAAACATCAGAAGTGACTTGATGGCACATAGCATCTTTGGAGTTTTTTAAAAATTACCAAACAATTGTTTAATGACAAGGTGAGTGAAATAGGCACCCAAGCTCTGCTAACATTGGCCACCTCCAGCCACAAATATTTTTAAAAGTAATTTCACAGCTTAAATAAGTGAACTTCTGAAAATCTCTTCTCAATTTTTATATATAAATACCAGAAATAGAAACTCTTTACAGAAATAGAAACTGTTTAGCAAGGAAGGAGTTAAAAAGTTGTCCTACTGAGAGTAATTTAATTTGGTTCTGTCTGGCAGGGTCCAGACCTCTCAAGCTTGCAATAATGTTGATGTTTATATTTAGAATGCTGGTACAGTACTTAAAAGGAAGGCAGAATGTCAGTCTCTCCCACCACCTTTTAAATAGTTATTTTCAAAGTCATTATTAGAACTCTGGATGCCTGGATTCCTTCCAAATAAAAAAATGGATCTGGGACTAACCATTCTTGATCAGGATAAGCCACGTTGGTCTTTTCAGTATATTTAATATGTTTGAAATTTGCAGACAGGAAAGGTAGCTGGAGTCTATATGAGTGGTGGTGGTAAACAGATTTACTTTTTAAAAATTTGTAACTCAAAAACTGTTTGCTCAATGTCCCCAAATCTGGCAGAGAGAAAGACCAGAGCAGTCTCATACAACTGTGCCAAATTTGGTGCTGGCCTGATAGTGAGTTTCAAAGTTTTACGTAACTTTTTGTTTCGGGTGCTCCAATTTTTTTAGTTGACTTATGGAACACTGAATTGTGCTACTGCACAATATCTACAGCTGTACTCTCATGCAGCAATAATACCTTGCTTTTAGTGCAGACCTGGGCAAAGTGTGGCCCGTGGGCCACATATGGCTCGCAAGCTGCTCCTGTCTGGCCCACCGGTCGTCGCTCCAGTCCTAAAAAAGTTTAGGAAGTTAATTATGTCAGCCTTGCAGTTCATTCACCACAGGACCTCACCCAATGGGGCCTATTACTACCCACAAATTGGGGGCCTATTTTTAAGTAAAGTTGGTTCGGCCCCTGAACATAGTTCAGATGTTTCATGTGGCCCCCTATAGAAATTAATTGCCCACCCCTGCTTTAGTGGTTCTCATGTGACTTAAGCAATGCGTACCTCTTCCTTCCTGTCACTCCCTATTGCACAGATGGCAAAGAGGTGTGCTTCTGGCCCACATGGCCCCTTCCATCTCTGAAGATGAAAATAGTTCAAAGTGGTAATCTACAGCCACAGAAGCCTCTGAGGATGTGATTTGCCATTTAAATCAGCAGTTGTATAATACTGTTATCTAAGTGTATCTTGGCAATACCTTTAGTAGACTACAAACAATTGCACATACTGTACTGTATAAGATAGCTTTTTGATCCTGTATAGGGCTTCATCAAGCTTGGTGCCACATAGCTGGGTAATGCTGAATATAAAAGTTTTAAAAACTATGGACAGATGGGCAGGCCAGGCTAGTTTGTTAAAATAAAGTTTTCAGAAGGTGGGGCTGCAGACTCAGAGGTGTAGAGTGCAGATTCTGCCACTGGTGGAGTGGGCCAACGTGTCTCCCACTCTTGTTAGTCAAAGACCTGCCAGCCATTCATCCTTTCCCCCCCATTCTGAAACACAAGGTTCCTTTCTGGTTATCAGAGGCAAGTAAATAGCAAACCTGGAACCAGAGAAATTGGGATAAATTTTAGTCTAGATACTGTACTAGGCTAGCCAAGTGCAACCCAATTAAGAGGATTACCTACCTAATGGGTGCAGAAAGAAGTATTCAGAGTGCAGCCCTGCCTGGGCCATGTTAAATGCCTATGTTTGTGATTGTGTGGTTGTCTAATACTAATACTGTATGGGTATCACCTACGTTTGCTTTTGGATTTCTATCAAGGAACACACAGCTTTTCCCCTCTTAAATACTATATGTTTGCCTTTTAAACCTCACAACTGATGTCTTTAAATGCACTTATTTTTTAACCAGATGTGAAGCTCCTTGGGTCCCGTAATAGGCAAAAGGGCGGCATAAAAGTTAAGTAAATTTATTCCCTTCCCGAGCTGTTTTTGGTCAGAAAACGACTCGAAGCTACCCGAAGTGACGGACCAACATGACTTAGCATTTGGGATGTGTGAGTCTAATTTCCTACCCCTCCAGGCCCTAAGCGGGCAAAGCGGCCCATCCCCGCCCTCGCCCACCGTCGCGATGTGTCTCCTCGGGCTTTCAAGCAAAGGGGGGGCAGGTGTGTTTCCTTTGAGCGATTCTACGCGCGGTGACTCCACACAACGCGGCGCGCCCTGCCAGGTCGATCCCCGGCCGCCGCCGCCGCCGTACTTCTCTCTTGCTTCTGTGCGGCGACACGTGTCCCCCGCGACCTCTCCTCTCGCCCGGTCAGGTTTCGGGGACTCCGCCTCCGCTCCCTGTCACGTGTGCACGGCGGTGGGAAGGAACTTGCAGAGTAGCGGCCGGAGCCCCGCAGAGCTTGAGCGGGCGCCGTAGAGCGGAGCTCCCGTTGGGAAGATGGAGGAGGACGACGAGAGCGGATTCGGCGAGGGTGAGCGAGCGGAGAAATCAAATGCGAGCCAAAGGG